CCATTTTGGATCTCAGAGTGTTGAACAAACATACAAGATCTTATAAATGGTGGAAAAACCTTTTCCACTGTTAAGGGGTGGTGCCTTACCTGGCACTGGGCATGTGCTCTTCTCTGTCAGGCCAGACTTGATGCAATTGGATGCTTCTGCAGTAGTCAGACACGGATGCACTTCCCATATTTGGATCTCTCCACCCAATGTTTCAAAGAACTGTGTTTACAAAAGTAACCTATTGTTTTGCACGGTCTAGCACAGGGGTGCAAAGAGTTTAGTTCTATCCCTGCTCAAACACAAATACCATGTTGTTTTCAAATAAGCATGAAGGACTTAACAAGCTGGATCAGGTGTGTTTAATTAGGGTTGAATGCCACGTTCCATTTGTACTCGGAAGTTGGAAATTCTGAGTTCCCAGTAGGAACTTTTATCTGAAGTTGGAGTTCTGACTCGGAATCTCGGAGGAATCGCAGCAACTCCAACTTCAGAATCCAATATGGCTGCTCAGTGCATCAACAGAAGATAAACAGTAGTAATATATTGTTTATTAGCATTTATGTTTGTCTGTGTCTCAATAAACTCAGTGGTGCACACAGTAATATCCAACCTCTATTTACCACTTTTTATATGTTTTTAATTGACTGGTATTGCTAACAATGGACGCGTCCATCTTGGTTTTCTGACTTCTCTACTGAAACACGGTCCACTTGTGTCTGATGTCATTATCAGCTCCGACATCTGGCTTTCAAGGCAAATGGAACGCAGCAGAAGCTAAACTCTGCAAGGTTGTGGCCCTCCAGGAATCAAGTTTTACACCCCTGGTCTAACACTACTCACATTTCCTTCAGAATGTGTAAAAATAATTTGATATATAGTTGATTAATATATTGTTTGAAATTGTAATATTTCAGTTTTTAGAGGAGGTTGTTATTCTTTAAACACTCATGAATATACAGTACTGTATAATTATAATGCTATAGTTTTTAGATATGGGTGAACATACAGCAGCTATAAATATTAAGCAGCTAATGCAGGCATTTTTTTAACTAGTCTTTAGTATTGTTAGTGATCCACAAACCCTAGTGTGACTCCTATTAGTTACATTAATGCTGTCAAAAAGCCTTTTAAAATAGAACCTTAAAAGTAATATTGAAATACAATATTGTGAAATTGGACTATAATGGAATTACAAGGGACTATTTATATAAAAAGCAAATCTCTGTATTTATGAGTGCTACAGATAAATAGCATGTGATTTATTCCATGGTTTATCCATGGTTTATCATCATTTTTTTTCTATGTTGAACATGATACAGGTCATAAGTAATGTGGCCCAATTTTTATTATTGACAAATCCAGCTTCAAGCAACAGGCATAACAAATTTAAAGTTATTTATGCAACAGAAATAAGCAGATCATGCAGAAAACCATGTGGAAATTAAGTACAACCCTCCTACATTTTATTAAATAGTTTCAAACAAAGAGACATCAGAATTAACCATTCCATGTCTCACACACAGCAGGTGATGTTCCATTCCTGAATGAATCTGTTTTTGAACTAATTGGTTGAGTGAAACATTTTATGACTCGCTCATAAAGACAGTCACTTGTTACTGCGTACTGGTGTAACAATGTAAACTGCAGAAAGTGTCACAGAAAAATCCCTACCACTAATGCTAGGGATGTGCCCGAATAGTGAGTCCGTATTCGGAAAGGCATGGAAAACAAATAACTCATTCTACGGAACCACTAAAAGGACATGGTTATGCATGGGAGCATGACTGATAGGACGATGGAGAATGATTTGCAGATCCTGAGCACCACAGACAAACATTTAATCTTGTAAAATGTGTGGTAAGTACTGCAGCACCATAGTATACACAGAGTACATGTGATCGCGAATCTCGAAAGTGGAAGTAAAAAACAAGCATGCATTCAAAAGCGATTTCAATGTCCCGCATATTAATAGCGGCTCCCTGATGCCGGATTGACTATCACACGTTGGTGGGCGGAGTTAGTGTAAATAGCCTCTGCTAACAAGGCGGCTATTTGCACTCAGTGTAAATAGACACTCCGTTAATAATATTAATGCAGTTCTCTCGAAGGATTGGCATGGTAATGTACATGACAATGTTAATGTATTTGGTCGTGGCGGAATAGATCTGCTACGCTGCTGCTGCTGCTGCGGCAGAGCAAGTACCGAGACTTGCTACTGTCAATACATCCACAACATGCTGCTGTGAGGATGTAAGAAATATTGCTGCTGCAAATATAACACATATGAATAACCCCCATATAGCATACATGAATCACCTCGTAGTAGATCTATACAGGTGGAGCTGGGGAAGGTGGAGGGTTTCTGAAGCAAGCTGCAACTGCTACGGCAAGCACTAGTCATATATTTGAATGTTCTGCACTGCTATGGCAAGCACTAGTCATATATTTCAATGTTGAGCAGCGAGCTCATTGGCTACCGATACAGGAGAGAACCAATCAGCTGTGCCATGTGATAATGATGTCATTAGGTCAGATTGAGTTAGACCTATCGGACTGCGCCATCTAGAGTTTCATGTCAGAACTCTGTATTTTTTCCTCCCATCTTGTATTTATTTATTCCCTTTAGGGGTTCCGTAGCTCACGTCATTTCCTTTCCGAACATGGTATTCGGATTCGGGCACATCCCTAACTAATGCACAGACTGTCAGTGTGTAGTGTCACCGAAGGTGTTGTTATTTCACTACCCTATGCTTGTAATGCAATGATCGTTTACACAGTGTTTTCTGCCACAGGAGTCGAAACATCATTTGGTTTTTGTTGAGTTCTCTAATGTATTACCCTCCAATTCTCCTTCCTCTTCTGTGTTCAGTCTCTGATAAAGCAAGTCATTGTCTGCACTTTCAGGTTGTTCCCTAAACTCAACCATCGCCTCTTCCTCAGTTTCGGAGTCGGGAGCAGTGTGTTTGCGTATACGACTTACCGCGTCCCACAGGGACTTGGCATGTTGGATTTTTTGCTTGTGTTCAGGGGGTGATGAAGTACAGCTTAAAACATCAGAAGAAACATTTCTTGTCTGTGGGAGAGATGAATTTTCAAAAGCATCTGGAACTGGAGTTGAAGGAGAGGGAAGTGAGGATGTACATCTTGACTGAACACTGGGAGGACCAGAGTACTCGGTGGTTTCTGTATTAGTAAAAGATGGAAGCAACAGTGGTTCATTCTCTGTGTGAGAAACCACAGAAGTAGCTGATACATTTGATTCATCCAATGTGTTGGAAGTAGAGGTAAATGACAAATGAGGTGAAGAACTTGATCTTCTGAAAGTACTGGAACCCACAGTTGAAGGTAAAACAGCTTTGTGTATGCGTTCTTCAAATTCTCTGATGTAATTTTCTGCACTTTTCCTAAGGAGGGGTGTAGAGCAATCCCAAACAAGTACTCGCTTATCATCTCTTTCATCGGAGAGGTTGTCTTCTGTTGAGCTATCCTTGGTAAGGTCCTTAGAAGTATCTTTTTGATGGTTTTCGTTATCTTTCTGTGTACTGTACTTATCCACACTGTCATCCAATGCTGGTGCATTTCCTTGTTCTGTGGATTGATTCATATGTATGCTGGCTTTGCTCATTTCTTTGCTCTGTCATACCCATCGAGTGATGCCGATATTTTGGCCCTTTCCACAATGGGAATTTCTCTATGATTTCCCTGCATGGTTTCTCATGTCCGTCTGTTTGCATAAGTGACTTCTGGGCTAAACAGTTTGACTCTGAGTAATTCCCTTGGACATAACATTGCAACTCTTCTTTACTTTCATCTGGTTTTATTACATTACCCAAATCCTGAATAGAACTGGATCTTTGATCTAGGGGTGTATGACTATACTCTCCAAACATTAAGGATCCGTTGAACTGCCCCACAGCTTTGTCCTTCTTCAAGTATGCATCCTGATTTTGTCTGCTGTCATCATTGCCCTGAGGTGAATTTATCTGCTCAGTGGTGATTGTCTTGTCATCAGGTTTGCAATCAGTTAACAGAGGTAACACGTGGGATTTAAGTGGCTCCTCTGGAGAACTGGACAAGCCTGACACTTCTCCCATACGAGAGACTAGACAAAACACAGTCTCGCCACCTTTTCTTCTTGTAAGTTTGGTCTGCTTCTTTTGAGTAATTTCAGGATGGGTCATGTGTGAAGACCCTCGGTACTGTAGCTGTGCTTGTGGAGAAGGTGGTATTGTGTTTGTTGTTGTGTACTGCATGACAGTGGATGTATTTAAGGTTTCCAGACAGTGTAGTCCACCCGTGATATCACTGCGATAACTCTCTGTGTTCTGTGTCTGGTTATTGTTTTGTAAATAATGTTCATTGTTTGATGAAAGATCATGATGTGTTTCTGTCGAATCTGTAAAGTTTACTTTTCTGCTCTCAAATGTTTGCTCCTGAAATGCTTCCACACTTGCCTCTCTAGTAACTTTCGGTATTCCTGCTATCTTGTCACCATCCTTCGGGGAGCTGTATGCCCGTGGTGCCATGTAGGATGGAGGCTGTTTAAATGATCCTACTGGGAAAAGACTTTCTGTATTTCTTGAACTCCAAGGGCTCCATTTCCACCGATGTTCCCTCTCTCTGTTGCTGAGGTCAGTTTTGTCTTTTTTCTGTGATGTTAAAGCAGTTGGCTGGAAATTTTCAGTGGTCTCTGCACTAACAGCCCACTGGCGACATCCCAACACTTTCTCCATGTCTGAAGCACACCTAGATGATCTCCACTCCCCAACCTCAAAATGAGGTGTTTTTTTGGAAAGTTTATGATGATAGCAGACGGCATATGCTTGGAGCTCGTTGTGAATGTTTGTTCCAAAGTTTTCTCTTATTCCTCTGTAGTTTATTGGCCATGTGTTTTCCCACCCTTCGTGCTGTGCACATTTGTTTCTTTCTGTATTCCTCCCCTTATCTGATCTCTGTTTTTCTGTTGGTACAAGATTTCTCACTTCACCAATGTAGTCAGTTAATTCTCTGTGAGATAACTTGGTTTGTGTAGGAAAATTTGTGATTGATGATATCTCACTCTGCTTGTTAAAGTCATAAATATCCCTGCTAGTTCTGGGACCTGATGCCACCCAAGTTTTTGGCTCACCTGTTGAGCCATTGTACTCCGACAGGTGCTGCAGGAAAGTGGCTGTAGAAGGTTGGCGCTGATATCTGTTAAGAAAAACAAGAGTAATGTACAGTTGCAGGAAAATGTAAGTTATATTTCTCCATAAACTGGTCATAAAATTGGATCTGTTCTTGAGCTGTCAAAATAACAGTCAATCACAGTCTGCATAAACAAATCTGAACATACCTTGTAAACATTCACAGTGCAGGGTAGTGAAGAGCCAGCTAACCTGAAGTCTGATCCCTGTCCTGTCCAAACA